TAACAGATATATGCTACAAATGCTTTTTATCTGATAGCCACTACCAAGGAAGACACTAGCATATATAAACTGTAGTACACATTGCCTAAAAATACATTTCTACAAGATATAATTTTACAAAACTTAATAATTTCTCTAAAAACGTATTTCTGCATATTGCAGAATCTCATGGATTTAAACAAACTAACAAAACAAACCGTAAGTCTGAGCTGAGGTCATTTAACTCCTGGACATTACTTCACAGTTCTGTCTAGAATATTGATATCTGAGATTTCATGGTCACTTTTCATTTTTTCATTGCAACTCAGTGTCTTACTGCCTGCAACAGGGTGATTCAGGACAATGACTGGAAAAACAGTGACCCTCACCTTACAAGTCAGTGGTTACGTCAACTAATAGCAGTTTGGTGGCCTACGAAATCAATAGTTTCAGTTTGATTCGCAGTGTATACCTACCCACAGCACACAGCCACACCAACAAGTGGAACATTTGGCCACCATGTAAGGTCACTACCTTGTTATTCTTAGAAGTGGTCCATCCCAAACAGGGCTGCCACATCCAGTTATGGGGCAGCAACAGGAATGTGGAATACAACTGTGACCCAAAGTTTACCTGCCCTGGGAATGATGGGCAGAGCTAATAACTTAACTTACAGGCTAATATTTCATTCTCTATGTAAAGAAAGCCTTGATTAATTTTAAAAATCCGATTAAAATATAAAGGAAGGCCAAGGCAAGTACTCTGCCTTACAAATTTATGTGTTTCATGTTTCTCAATATTTCCACATCCCTGTCAGCTTCTGGAAACAACAGCTTTGTACCAAAGAAGGCTTTGAATAGAAAGTATTCAAGTCTGTAAAATCAGCACTGCCACCTGGTGTTGCAGATGAAGCATTTTGGGTACCACGAGTTTTTCTAATAAAAAAAGTCATTTCCTATGTCACCTGGATTCTGCTATCCCCTGGGACTCTGGTAACTGCTATTCTTCTCATAAAGATGCTTACTGTCATTTAATTTTATCCTTGTTAGTGATGAACCAACCAAAACACTGGAGAATAAAAATCCAGCCATGCCTCCCATTTTCTTGACACCTCATTTTTAATGAGTCCAAATGACTTCTAGACAGATATCTTCCTACCAGCAAGCAGAATATAAATTCCAAATTAACACACTTTCAATTCCTACCTTTTTGAACAAATGTGCTTCTGTACACAAAATATAGTCTTTGTTCTTTCCCACACTTTTTTCAGTACTGAAGTTTGCTAAACTCATTCATGTTTGGAATGCTAAACTGAAACTACTGAGAAGAGAATAAAGCGTATTATCTATGGACACAGTAAATGAGTTTGAGTCTGGGAAGGCACCACATCACTAGCAGAGAAATGGAACTGACTTTAAATCAAAAATACTTCTTTTTCCTTTAAAGATGTTCTCACAACATAGTTTAGCAGAATAACAGTTCTGAAACAGTGTTGGAAATACACAATTAAAAGAGCATGTCCTCAACACAAGGAATTCAGTCTAGCTACAATCACCAGTTACTACAGACAAGATACTATGGGCAAGCATACAACTGACAGCTACAGAGCAGAAGTCTACAGGGCTGTCTCCTCTTTGAAAATGCTAATATAGCTGACACTGTTAACTTGTTTTCTCTTTTCTGTGAGCACAAAACGAAAATGCAAAGCAGGCCTTTGAAAAGCACAGAACAGACATCTGCTTTGGATCAAGATCATCGGCAGAGCAGCCACAAGAACTGTGCTTGCCAAACAGTCACCAAAGGTCTTGCCACGCCTGGAGAAAGACAAACACGAACCGTACCAGCACTTGCACATTTTTTTCTACAGTGGATTTCTATTGCCTATGATGTTTGCCAAAATAAGAAGTCTTTTTCATCTGGAAGTGACAGGTTCAAATGCATCCCTGGGCACTAGTCTGTGACTGCTGGCCAAAAAACACTGCATGAACAGTCCTACTGACAGTAAAGGGTTACAAGGTAGTAACAGTCTCTGCAGGATCCAAGCTGTAGTCAGGAGCATCCACTAGCTGTTTCTGGCCCATGTATAGTACAACATGTTGACAATACTAACCTAGCTGTTTACAGACAAATAATAGAAACAAATTAGTGAATAAAAACCACCACTCTGATCATTTTGTTTTCCAGCCTGACAGAAGTCCTTGAAATTCTCCAGCCCCATAATCTGTGTTACAATTAACACACACAGTTTAGGGGCACAGGGATGAAAAATGGAAGACAAAGATTATGCATTAAGGTGTCTCCAAAACACCTGTGGTACAAAATAATGCATATGTATCTTTAGCATGGAAAAATGTTTTGCATGTTTTCTGTTTAACAGTCACCAAAAAGATGGTGGAATGTCATTTCAAATGTAATCTAGCCAAAGAATCTAGCTATGAAATTCACACAAGAGATCTCAGTACCACATGCAGATACAGTTTAATGTATAACTTCTTGGGAAAAAAATGGTTTATTTCTCCCCAAAAGAAAAACCTAAAATTTCAATAAGAAACATAACTTTCCCTCCTGCAAAACTCTGATGAAGATGTTATTTTAAAATAATGTTTTTAAACAGGAATGCCCTGTGATACTTATAGGTCTTCTTTTGCACTGCTTTACAATTAAAACAATGTCAATGAAGAGAACAGTTGGAGACAGTCAGACACAAAACTGAAAAACTCATAAAAGCTTTGGATTTTGTGAAAGAAAAAAATTAGACTGTAGAAACCAAACATTCATTAAATGAGCAAATTCTAACTACGACAGATTTTTAACGTGCTGGGCAGATTCTGACATAGTACCTCGGAAACATTTTGTTCCAATACATTTTTTTTATTTTTAAGTATTTATATTATACATTATGAGCTAGTCTAAAATGAGTTCAGGCTGAAATTAATTAGCCTTAGTGGAGAAAAAGAAACAAAGTTTTCTCACCCAGGCTATGCTCCTCTTTTTGCCTCTTTTCCCATTTTGAGCTGTCCACATAGGCCGCAGAAAGAAGAGATCTTCTACCTAATGAAGAAAGAAATCACTAGGTAAGTCAGATATCTCTAAACAAACTAACACTTTATTAGATATTGCCCTTTTCTGTCATATTTCTGAGTCAGATGCCTTTATGGCACACCTGTCAGCAGCAGCTAATGTAACAGTTCAGATTCCCTGTATGTGGATGAGTCATTACCTTGTCATTTTTAAAACAGAAAAGCTTTCCCCTAGAAGTTTTTTTTTCAGTGAAACAAACATTCCCAAACCTGAATTCTGTATTTAAGAAAATGATAAATTTGTAAAAGTAGAAGAAACCTTGAACAACAATAAAGGACTGCTTCTTTGTGCACACAGAAATTTTTCACCAAATGCTAGCAACTGGCTAAATATACATATAAAAGCATAAGAAAAAATATGAATATGCACAAAAAGGCTTTTCTGCTGCTGTTGGAAGGTTATTTTTTCCACCTGTAAAGATTCATCTCACTGGAAATGAAAGGTAGATGCACCTCTGGAAATATTCTACTTTTTACCATCTCCTTTTTTTGCATCTCCTGTGAATTGCAGAGTTCACTCAAATTTTTTTGAAAGTTTTTTCTAAACACTCTTTGTACCACCTTTAAAATCTGCTCAAGATGCTGCTCTAGCTTTTGAAACAAATGAAAATTGTTTCAGTTGAAAGAACAAACCATGTCTGTACACCACTCACAGATGATAAGAACCTGAATGAGGAACATCTGTATTAAATTTGTAGACGGAAGACGTAGAAATACATGCAGAAGTTTGCAGAAATTAATATTAAGAAACATGAAATATTTTAAAAACAAATGTTACTATGCTACACAGAATTCTTAGCAACTACCTTAAAGCCTTTACCTGAAAAATCTACCTGCTACCACTAGAAGTTTGCTATTCTTGAGTGTGAAACAATTTTTCTCATTATCATCCTTCTGACATGCAATTATACACACACATTCAGCTCTGAACATCTCTGCAAATTTTTGTCATAAAGACCTGGTACACAGAATTCTGCAGTCAGACTATAAGAATATGTACAATGCTTTACCGAAGCATTAGAAAATAAGAAAAAGAGGTATTTTCGTTTGGTTGGTGGGTTTTCTTTTAAAGTTATTTGTCACTGTCATTATGTTAATAGAAGATCTCAGGTTTGGGTTTTTTAGGATAAACTTCTGTATGCTTATTCACAGTGAAAGATGCCACTAGCAAACACGAGGGCTTAAAGAACTATTTGCTGTAACACAAAAAACTGTCTGCATGACAGTGCTTTGTCCAGGTAAGCTGGGGGTCAGGTTTGAGTTTTTCACGCAGGTTCCAGTGCCTGAGCAGCTCCAGTGCCAGAGGAGAGGGAGGTGTTTTTTGAGACATGGCTGTACCTACCAGGAAGCAGCACTGAGAAATTTCTCCTCGGGGAAGCTGAAAAGCCACAATAGCTACCCATCACCACCACACTTTTAAGTAAACATTACTGAGTTCAGTTCTTGGCAAAGGTCAACATTTCTGGAAAGGCAGTTTTTCAAAATCATCTGTCTTGGTTGTGGTTCTGCCACCTGAGTTACTAGGTTTTGATGAACGCTTAGTGTCGCGGGTTTGGCGGCCTCCAAACAACCCGTGTGGCTTCCCGTGACCCAAAAAGGCAAGTCCTAAGATATTAAGCTATGAGATCGGCAAGGTGGCGTAGCTATAAAAAATAAATTAAGAATACTCTCCCGCACCGCATCCTAGCGATATGCCGTTCTCGAAGAAGTCCCCACGCAGCTTCCCATCCCTGGAGGCGACCACCGCAGCCAACAGCAGCCACGGCAACTCGAGGGCCCGTCCCGACAGGGCCTGTCCTCCACAGCCCGGCCAGGCCCAGCCCGTGCCATCCCTCAGCCCGCCCCGACACCCCCGCTCCGCCGCAGCAGCGAGCCTC